GAGTTATATTCTAAGCTACTACATGAACCCCTTTGGTTTAGTCAGTATTTTTTCATTGTTTGAAAAATGAGGAATGATGAGGAATTAGCTATTGGCTTCTGTTTGCTATGTACCAGTGGATGTACTGATCACTGGATAACTGTGGTGCTGGAGAAAACGGTTGACTGTCACAAGTATCAACAAAGAGGAGAGAAACTAGATCAATCAATCATTAGTAGGACTGGCCTTGCATCTCTCTGATACGATGATTTTTTTTTTGCTGCCTTCAAAGAGCGGTAATTGGCATCATTAGTTTCCAGTGTGAGATAAAAGTGATTGAGTAGTTCAGGGGATCAAACTTGTGACACAGATGCTGATGTCTATTGTGTCTTCCTGCTTCTCTGCAGCTGTTCCAACCCCACTGACAAGACAGTGAAGATGGTGGACAACGGACTGGGAACATCCAACTACTTTTCTTTTAACTTGTTTGAGTTCTCTGGGAAGAGCAGTGACGTCTACCTGCACTGCAAAGTGAAGCTGTGTGTAAAGAAGGGCAACACCTGCACCCAGGTATGCCTTGCCCCCCAAATCCACCCACAGATGCAAGCAGCTCAACCCACACATGAGCTTGTTCTTACATGATCAATAGGGAAAGACAGTTGATTTGTACAACAAGCTGAAGTCTAAAATTTTATCTGTGTGTTTTTGTCTCAGAGCTGTGGAGTTAAGAGACGACGCAGATCTGTCAGGTCTAGATATGAAGACGGAAACCCAGCCTTCATCACCATGGCTTGGACTAAATAGGTAAGACACAACCATACTGCTGGCAGGTGATGGCGGAGGTGTGGTCACTCTTGTTGTCCTATTGTTATGATGTAGAATGTGACACTGACAGGAGGATTTTAATGCCCGACTAAGAACAGAATGAAGAGTGAACAAGTCGAACAAATCCTGGATTTCAGTGATTGCTACACTTTGATAGAAAGGACTTGGTCTTCAGACAGTAGCGACTAAAACTAATCCTAGTTTGTTCTGGCTGTTGTCACAGGTTGTTTCCATGGCGACTCGGACTGACTGAAATGCTGTTGACCTCCTAAGTGACTCCAGGCTCCTGATCAAGAGCCTGGATGTCTGAATCCCTTTGGTTTTAGATTCAACGTCTCCTGAAAAGATGAGCTCAGTTATGTTTGCTGTGACACTATCCATACTTACAAACAGTTGTGTGTGGACCAATTCAGTCCAGTGTGGTGTTTGTGAAGTTGATTGATCAAGCTAGGAGCATCAAATAACCTAATGAAACAACAGGTCACATGAGGTGTCAGTAGGTGAAGCTTCATCAGAACATTGATACAAAGCCAAGCTGATCTTTGATGGAGCGTCTATCAGCTCCATGTGTTGCTAGTCCTGGAGAGACTGACTTAAAACATATTATAACATGGTGAAGGGAAATTTACTATAACCAATTTATTTAATCTATATTACACACACACTCGTAGAAGACAACCATTAACATCACAATATTTGGACAAAGGACTGTTAACAGTGTAAAATGAACACTGGGTCATCTGGTTGCTGAACAGTGGGAAGTTCTGTCAGCATCCTGAATTTTAACTCACACTGCAAGTATCAGCAATGTATCAAAAGTATCAGCAGTAAAAGTACTTCACATAGTTACAGTTCCACATTAACGGTACTTAATATGGTTACACTACCCAAGTAGCAGTACTTCATGCACTTAGTGACAGTGACACAATAGCAGTACTTCCACAGTACTTCATTGTGTAGTAAAGTGTCCTGTGACTAATCTCTGATCAGATCATTGATCCAGAATTGCTAATGTAGCTGCTTTTAACTACTTGGATAGTTCAGTTCACTGGTTGCCAACTTAAATCACATATAACCTGATCACTCACATAGACTGAGCGTGTGTATATGCCAGTGTAAACAGAAAGCATTTGTTTGCTTGTTGCAGAAAGAGCGAGGCTACAATCAATGGCAAAAAGTAATTTCCATCATTATTAAGTATAGACTTTAATTGCACAACAGCTGTTAGCAAAGAGAACATGGTCAACAACACTTGTAATTGATTATACATGTTGTATTGTACACTGGTAGCTGAGGCCAATATTGGTTATTTTCTTCTGGAAGCGGGTCATGTGATAGGAGACTGACAAATCTGCAAAGGCTATGTGCAGACTTAAACACTGCCCCAGAGTTTTCAAACTGAAATGGGACCATCAGCATTTCCAAACTTCTTTGAGAAGCTCTAAAACTCTGGACTATTGGGACGGCTGACATATCTGTTGCAGAGTTGATGTGTTTTCAATTGAAATGTGGCCTTAACTTGTGCCTGTAACAGCATCAGTTGGTGCTCAGTTGCAGGCATCATCTAATGATGAAAATATATAAAATGAGTTTGTGAGGGAAAAAAGGAAATCGTGCCAGGGTGGAGGGTTCGTGGGGAATATTCTCATTTACATATTGACATAGATTTGGTCGATGTACAACAAGTGATACAATGATGAGTGTAACTTTAACTCTATCCAAACTCTTGTCGCTATTATTGTGTTTTTGTTTGTTGAAGAACCTAAAAAAAATCATAAATAAAGGGAATGTGGGTAAAAGACAATCATGGGTCTGTGTGTTTTCATTAATTAGATATGACTTTAAGTGTCCACACGTCTTTCACAGTTTTTTTCCTCTGCTGTGATCAGACTCATGTATGATGAGTGCGGCTGAAGGCTGCTGCTTTGTACAGAGTAACAAGGCAGTGGAGGGCTCTGGCAGAGGTAGAACTAACAGGCAGCAAAGCTCTGTTGATAAAAAATGTTTTCTGATGTTGCCTGAGTTGAAGGTTTCATAGGTTTAGGCAAAGAAGCTACTTTCTTCAGTTTTGGGAAGGATTATGTATTAGTCTTGATTTTAAGTTAATGGAAATAGGAGATAAGCAGGGAGGCAGGTTGGTTGGTTGGTTGGTCATCATCATCACACATTTTACATTAATTATTAACAATATAGTGTAAACAAAGTCTAACAAACATTTTGCCAATGTGAGGAGGTCAGCTCACTTTCTTCACCTGCCCAATAAAAACCCTGCACAATACTCTTAATTGGATGATGCAGCATACACGTTACAAACTATAATCACTGTGACCCTCTACAAAATGAATTATTCCATATATGTAACTCAATAACTGAAAATATGTCAACATTTAATATGTTCACAGACAGGCGTTTTCTGATTCGACATGTGTGGACTCACTGGGTTTGACTGACAGCTCCACTCTCCTGATTACGTTGTAAAACCCATGTCCTCATGTAAACAAAGTCTAAACTTACATTATACAGTGACCGAGTAGGCTAAGGCAAAAGCAAATGCTTATATACAAGATGAGATAAGATGTACCTTTATAGACTCTCCATTAAGGACATTACCTGCTTAACATTATTATTAGTTTACCATAAAACAGCATCAAAAATCATTCTGATGGAACACTGACTTTAAATAGCTCTTGCCCTAAGTCACATTGATGAGCGGGCTTAATCTCTTATGAAATGTGTTTTACAAAGTATAGTAGCAGCTTGAAATTCCAGAATCAGGCCCAGCAAATTCAAGAGTAATGCTGACCTGTTGATCAGTTAAAAAGACTAATAAGACACTAAAAAGCAATAGCACTTGTGATTCTGGAAGCCTGAGATCATAAGTAATTAACACCAGTCAGCCATGTTGTAAACTATGCAGTCAGAGATCCACTCAAGTGATTGAGAGGTTTTGTTTTCTGTACATGAATGTGTGATTTATGCTGTTCTCCCTCTCTGCTAAGGGTGGAGCTGTTCACTCTGTTTTGTGTTTTGTCTGTGTGTGGAGTTTCAGGTCGCAGCTGGTGATTGGAGTCAGAGCGCTGTGTTGTCTGATAATCTTCTGTTTTGAAAGCCTCTAAATAATATTGTTAAAAGAGCAGTCCTGGTAGCTAACCTTAACCCTAACCCTTTTTTGTGGATCTTTCTCCTGTTTATGTTAGGGAGGCAGGTAAGATCCCTGTATTTTCTTGTCTTTACTTTTGGTTGAAATAAGTCAGTAAGTTAGTATTATATTTATATATACATTTTCTTTGGCTGTGCTCTCCCTGATTCTACCGGATATATAAATAAATATTTGTTTGGACTGCAATCTACTGTGGCACTGGTCATCCTTGGGAGTTGGGAAAGAGGGGAACCAAACTACATGTTATGCTCATGTTTCCCCTAGCCCGGGTGCAACACCACTAAACTGCTGAGACTTGGAGTTCAACAAAATGAATCATCTCATGTGGCTGCAGTGGCCTCTGTTGCTTTAAATACTAGTGATTTCAGACACTTGAACAAATTACAAATGCTTTCATTATTCTGGTGCATATGTACTTTTTCAGATGCACATGCATCTTAATATCTAGTTAAAAGTGTGAATTTAGGTGATAAGATCAGACCCAGTGTCTGACACTTCAGGTTTTGGATGGCACAGAGAGAATAAATATGTTGGGTCTTCTAGACAAACTCAAACTCTTAATTGTGTCTCCTGTTGTTATTTATGTTGACTTTGTGAGGAGATAATGCTACTACAAAACAGCTTGGAAATCCCATCTTCTGCAAGCTTGCAACAGCAGAATGGTGGGACCATTTCAATTTACTTGTAATTTACCAGGCACAGAAACTTGTGTAAATGAATAAACTATATCCTAAACCTGCTACACTAAGACACAGTACAGACATGAGCACAGTATTGTACACGGAGACCTACTTGATCATCAAAAAAAGACATGAAAATCTCATATCTACAAGTAAACCTTTGAAAATTACAGGGGGAGTAAAAAGGAATTAGAGCCAAATTCCTTTTGGCTTTGACTAAGTGATAACAGCAAACAGATAATGTAACATGCCCTGTTATATTGACCTTGAATATGGATAAATGTATAAAAACAGGAAATCCTTCATCGCATTACATCTCAGGAACTTGACTGATATTGCTTTTATAAACAGTTACTTCTTAAACTGAAGTAAACATTCACTTACTGTGCCTACATTGAATTTACTTTTGTAAATATTTTTGTCACATGGTGTTGTTTGTAATTCTGTTAGTTGCATCTGTAAATTGACCCTTTAGTTGGGTCATCTATAGCAGTTCTGTGACCATGGAGAGCGAAGGTTCCTTTCTCACTGGATTTGTCATCTATAAAGGTTAAAGAAAAAAATTTGCTGAGCTGCCCCTCACAAAAATGTGGGGAAATTTTGTGAGAGCTCTATTTCCAAAATGGCTACCGTCAGCCAAGCTGGAAATTAACTTTTTAATGGTTTGGCCCACAGTGCTGCATAATACATGGTTTCTGAGACTATTTGGGTCAAGAAATTCATAAATGATGTAGATTTATTGATTTGACCTATTTTTGACCTTCAAACTCAAGATGGCCGCCAATTTTTGGCTCTTTAAGTGTCAATTTTTCAAAATCGTCATAGAGCCTTAATATTAGGCTCGAATGTAAGCTCTGCTCAAACTGAGTTAAGTTTTCAGTTTTGATTGAGGCAGATTTAATATCTATTGGTAGTTGTTTCCAGCCGTGGGTAGAATATTGGCTACATGCCATTTCCCTCTGTATAGTTTGTGATTCTTTTGTTTGAACCTTTTCACAATACAACAAACATACAAGCAATACACATAAAGCACACAGTACACAAAGTGACAAAAAGAAAGAAAGTTGTTCACACTGGCATCGTGTGTGTTGTAGTTTTGCAGTGGAGCTGCTCTGTGTGGTTACTATATGATCACTGCATGTCCTTGAGTAAAAGCTGGGTTATGTACCCAACTAAATGCCAGGACGCATTTTCTGGCCTTGCGATTATAATAAAACCTGAAAAACAATTTAATAGATTCAGTCAACAGAAATGCTGGAGTCAATAGGAAGCGTTGCAAATATATGTTTGTGACATATTCGACAGATAAATATTGAAACTGTGGTGAAAGATCATTTTGGCTCTATTTTGCTTTGAACCGTGCATAGTCTACTCCGGCGGCCCGCTTCGACATCGACCCCAGGCCAGGCTAGCGGCTAATCCACACAAGCCTGCTATGCCGTCCATCGTTCTCGCCAATGTACGCTCCTTGGACAACAAACTGGACTACATACACCTTCTGAGAGCAACCCAGCAGACTGTGAGAGAGTGCTGTGATTTTGTATTCACGGAAACATGGCTCAACAATACCAGACTCCGCCATCCAGCTCGACCGGCTAACATGTCCACCAGTTTTCAGGCCTGAGGTTGTTACACAAGGAGCCTGTGGCAGGGGATACAGACCACCACGGACTATAAACCTCGACCACAGATCTGTGACAATGACACCACTCTGCTGAACAGTCTGAACAAACACAGGGAGGACACACAAAAGTACAAATGCAAAAGAATAAGAGTAGGTCACCACGGGCAAAAGTCTTGCATTTAAAAACCTAATTAAGTAAAAGTATACAATCAAGAAATGCTTTAACCCCATACATAGGAAATGGCAGCTTAGAAACTGTAAACTGGACGATGAGTGAGGTACTACAGGGTCACACTTCATGACTGATCTGAAATCTCACCAACTACCTATGGTTCATGATGTACCATAGGTGAAGTTTATGCTCTTAACTTTTTAGAGAGGAAGATAAGAAAAAAGGCAATAGAATAAAAAAAACTAAATCATAAAAATACAGAATATGTACATAATATACAATTTTCACTATGGAAATTTGTAAAGAAATGGATATGAATAAAGTGCAGTGGCACAGGATAATTGCATGAGGATGTAAACAGTATTTGAGCATTTTGGAGATGTTGAAATGGACAAATCCATATATATGCATATACAGACTGTTTACATGTATATAGGCCA